AAAAAGTGCACACATACAACCAACTAAAAAATTGCTACTTGAATGTTTCAAAACTACATGGCATCAGTTAAGGCAAAACATCACAAGTCAGACAACTTTGAAAAAAACCATGAAGTTAAATTCAGCTGCCTGAGACTGCCACCCCAGGAGACATTGGCAATATCTAGTGCATTTCTTCTATGACTTGAAACGTATCCTTTTAATTAAGAGACATGTCAACTCATTAAAATGATTCAAGTATTAAACAATTGTGGAGTATGGGCTTAAAAAAAAAAAAAAAGTGATCCTGTGACTCGAGGAGACTTAAAACCTGGAAACACCACCCTCTACCCTTTAACAAAAAACAAAATAAACTAACAAAACAAACAAAAAAAACCCTCCAAAAACAAAACAACTGAAAATGCAAGTCAGAGGTATTCAACTCATCTGGCCCTGCAGACCAGATGAGTGGCACAGAGCTGGACTACAGACCAGCCCATCATTCCAAATCTAGAGCGTGTCCTAAAGCAGCTGGAGTAGACACTGTGTGGGGTGTGGTCTGGTCCTGCTACAAGGCTGTGCTGCACACGGTAGCTGCTCCAGGATGTGCTGTTGGATCTGCAGTGGAGACAACAAGCGGTGCATGGGACCATCCAGCATGCCCCACATGCTGCCCGCAAGTTAACTTTGAAACCAATGGGCAGCACTGGAGGCTGGATCCTAGGGATATGAGAGCTGGATCCAGCCTGTTGGCCAGATTTTTTACACCCCTGATGTAAATCAATTCCATGCTTCTGTGGGGACAGAGCGATTAATCAGGTTCTTGAGGTTGGCAATACTGGAATGACAATGAAGAATCCTAGATACTCTTCCTCCTAAAATAGTTTATACTCCAGTGTAGAAAAGATACTGCAGCCAGATCTCTAAGAAACCACAATTTTGTTCAATCCCAAGAATAAACTCTGCCCACAAGTCTTTTGTCAAAGGACATGGCTACTAATATTTCCAGGAGCATTATAATATTATAAAAACCTAAATCCGTCTATCACGCTTTGATTCATGCTTGATTGGCTAAAGGAAACAGCCAATCAGAGTGCTCCAAGCATGGGGGAGCACCGTCATGATTCCAAAGCAGCACTGGCTTCGGCTCTCCCACCTCACAAGAGGCAGAACAATGACAGCATGCGGCATTAGGTGGTGGCACTCCATCCCAGCCCTCTCCCCCCCATCATTCTTGATGGGCAATTGGCTAGCATTATTATAAATACAGAGTAAACTGGCTTCCAAGTCAACTGCCAAGTAGTTATACAAGATAGTTATGAACATCAGGTTTTTAAGACCCAGCTACACAAAGCCTTGGCTAGGATGATAATGTTAGGGATGGTCCTGCTTTGGACTAGATGACCTCCCAAGGTCCCCTCCAACCCTAATTTTCTACGATTCACAGAATTACCAAGGTCTTGTAAAGCTTGAATTTCTGCTAGCCATCTCACTAATACAATTACTCTGCATAGACTTTTTATTCCAAACTGAAAATAGCCTCACCTTGCATTTTAAAACCCTTAGAATACTAAATCGCATGTTTAACTGCTATGAGTTAATACATACTTCAGAAAACAAGTTTTCTTTAAAAAAATAATACAGTAGCATATAATACTTACCATGAGCCAGGTATTTCTTCAATGTCTTAATACATAGCTTTTGAAAACTGAAAAATTGAACAGCCCCACCATTTCTAAATCCAGTAAGGGCAAAATGTTTCTGTTAATCTTGTAAAACAAAAGTAATATTTTGTTTTTAAATGTGTCCTGGGACTATGATTTTAAAAATCTGCCTCTTCATCACACAAAAATTACATTAAATTTCACTTAACTTGGACGAGCTCCTGATGTTATCTATTTCCAAATAACCAGGTTCTCAGTCAGAAACCAATAACCAAAATCCAAAGTAAAAAAAGAAGACAGGTTCTTTTCAGACAAGTCCCCAACATTCAACTCTTTGATTCTTCTTCACTGCTGTACAGGCTGAGATTAAATGTAATCTCAAGAGTTCTATGGGTTCTTCTGTGAAATCTCTAGACAGAACACACTGGATAACAATAAGGGTCAAGCAGCAAAGAGCACCTTGCCCTGGCAACCATTTGATATCTGCAGTGCCTACCCTACCCCTCTCAGAACTTCCCTTTTACTTATGATTTCTCCAGTCACATTTGTAAACCTCAGCTTTACAATACACTCAACTCTGAGCCTCCACTTCCAGTCCCCTATGTTATCATGGCCATGTCTACTTCAGTAGTAAGCAGCCTCTCTAAAACAGTATGTGACAGTCATATAGGGTGCCTGTACACGAGCGCACAGGCTGCTCCGACACGCTGTAATTACAGCACATTGGAGCAGACTCAATTATAATCAAGTCTGCTGGAGGGTGGCAACTGCTGTGCTCCAGCAACCTCCTGCGTCTTGTGTATCAGCATCCTGGTGCTTAAAAACGGCCGTGGGGGCACTTGAACTAAAGCTTGTTTGACAAAGAGCTCCCGCTGCCATCTTTAAGCACAGGGACACTGATGCATGAGATGAGGTGGCGCTTTAATAAGAACAGCTCCAAGAGCTGCTCTAATTAAAGCACTCTCCCACCTCGAGAACATGTGTAAAAGTACCCATAGATTGCTTCCCAAAGAAGTTGACAGGTTTGTATAAGATAACCTCTGTCTTTTCCAGAGTTCCCTCTCTCCACCACCACTGAATTTTTTGTTCCTTTTTATGAATTATGCTTGCTTTGGAGCCGTGAATTGGATTGCTGACACTAGTATATGGCAGGAACTCCCATCTCAAAGGCTGTTCTTCTCAGCCAGTCAAATTGTATTGGTAAAAGCCATGTGCCCTTCAGAAGGGATTTCAATCGCTGCATTGTATGTTAGTCTATTATACTGTTCTCTCTCTTAATGAGAGAGAGTAATTTTGCTTTTTTTTTTTTTTTTTTGCTCCTTCCAGCTAGTCTTTGCTGCTATACATGGCAATCTCCTGCTCTGGATGCACATAAAGCTTCACACAAATTAAACAACTACAAAATCTTGGGGATTAGGTTTTTTTAAATGGAATAACCATCAAAACCAATGCAACCAATGCATTGTTGCAATTAAATTTAGAGTTCCAAAAACAGAAAAAGACAGAGCAACCCAACCTTGAAACATCCAGGCTCAATTTGAGTCATAACCAGGAACAATGCAACTTCAGAACTACGCTTACTTTATCATTCATACAAAACAAATTCTATACTATAATTTCTTTGCTGTTTGCAACAGTTACCATAAAACACAAAGCTGATTAAGAACATATACAACAATTATTCTTAAAATAGCTATGTTAAAGGGGTTTTCCCTCCTTTAAATTACAATTTCAAACCTTTCTGAACACACAGAAGGGATTCCCAAATTCTCCAAAGGAACTGCCCTTTGGTGTGAAAAGCCAAAGCTGGTACCGCTATCTGTTTCCCCAGGATTATTTGGTGGACAAGAACTTAACTACTTATTACATAAGAAGTTAATAAATCTCTCTAAAGACTAAGGCTTGGCTACAAGCTCTCTCAAGTCGCATCTGTATGGCCATATCAATGTATCAAGATAGGAATTTGATTTTACTAGGATTGTGCAAGGTGCAAGATGAAAAACAAGGTTTTCAGTTGTGTGTTAAAGTGTAACACAACACACCTTTTAAACATGTTTTTCTTTAGTTGACTATGCATAAAACTGAAAGTCCAGGATTCTTCTACTCCAATCTGAGTGTTACCTAATGGGACTCTACCAAAACATTTAATCCCATGCCTTGGTTGGCCTTCCTTCATCACACCCCCAGCTGTAAAATGGAAACAGAATTGTACTCCAACACTGTTTTGCAGAATCCTTGATGTGCACAGACCACTCATGAAAGTGCAGACCAAAGTATTAATATACATCCGTGGTTCATACCACAGCTGCCCTGGTCAAAAACTTGGGACAACAGCTCTAGCTACTATTCTCCACCCAGTCACAACCTTGGGTTTAGCAATGGCCTACCATTAAGCACATTGCACCCTTTTACATTCTCTACCTACATTATACAACTTAATAAGATTATAAAATATTTGAAAAAGGCAAAAAATAAAAGAGCTTGCAAAGCTTAAATGTAAAGTATGTGGAGTGATAATTCTGCTTTTTACTGATTTTGGCAGGACTGTAAAGAAAGTTGGTCATCATACTTATTTTCTATTATTACATAGTGTTTGAAATAAGTTGCATCTATATATCACTGAACAGATGTTTGTTTTCTCACCTACATGGTATGTTAACTTAGAGCCATTTTTAGAAAAAATAATTTCATTCAGGTAAAGGAGGCAGACTGTCATATTTCAGAGATGGAGCCCAAGCATTAACATTTAAAAAGCCTGCGCACTACAGGGTCCAGTCTAGAGGCCAAAATCCTAGCCCCAAACTGCTGCTTTTGAGATAGACGCTAACTCAGTCTTTGCATCCATTCAAATTAAGTTTGTGAAGAGAGCTACCTATTATGACGTGGACAACTGCTTATATAGATTTCTGCCTTCCATGCTACATATACAAACAAGTCCAAGGCCCCATCTTCTAGCTATAGATCCTTCCACACAAACAGGGTTTCACAGTTATGCTGCTGAAGAGAAACATAAAAAGCGCTTGTTCTTCGACCCAGCTGTACATCTATTGTAACCAACCCTTAAACTGACGTGAAAACCAAGTCACTTAACTTCAAGCCGCAAGCTATTAAAAAGTATTGCTGATTACTTTAAAGCTAACCTAATTTCAACTAATTATCTAGGAATAGAGAGACTAAAGGGCTGAGCGCTAGGAGGACCTCCAGAACACCACCTCATCAGGCATTTATAATCTTGCAAATGATGAAGGCACAACAGGACTACCCACAGCAACGACCCACCGCTGCATTCTTCCAGCATGGCTTAGGGCCACCTCCTGCAAGGATTTCGTAAGTTACTGATCGTTGCCTGTGAAGAATCACTGTCCACGTGCAAGTAAAGTGGAACAAAATATCGCCCTTAAAAACAACATACTGCACATTTACTAACACGGCTGTCCCGGTGAGACGAGCCTTCCCTGGAAGACAGGGCTGTTCTCACCCAGCTTTCGAAGCAACCGGACGAGGCTCTCGTTTCAAATTCTTACTTTCAGAAATGAAGATGGCAACCGTCCAAGCGAGGCTGGCAAAGTGGCCCTGCGGCTCCCACGCCGGGCGTGCAGCCGTGCAGGGGGAAAAGGCCGGTTTCCTACCGAAAAAGCCCTGTCCTGGATGCGGGGCAACTCCCGCGGCCACGAGGCAGGGCTGGGCCCGTCTCCGCGCCGGGGGGAAGGCAGACATGTGGGCGGTGCGGGGAGCCCCGGATCGCGAGCCCAGCCCCACACAGGGCCCGCGGCGCGGGGGCGCGGGAGGGACGGGGGGGAGGGACTCGCGCAGGCCGCAGCGCCGCGCCGGGCCCAACCCTAGGGCCGAGCTCGCCCGCACCCG